GAAAGAGAGAGATGCGGTGAAGAGGAAGAAGAAGACAGAAAGAGAAAGAGGAAGAAGAGATCGGTTTGGGAAAGTACGACCACAAAAGAAGTCTCTAAAGAAATGAGTGTGCATGCTTGACGTCTTAGGGAGTGTTTGCCTGTCTGAATGTGTCTACATGTATATATATATATATATGTCTGTGTGTGGATGTGGATGTGCGTACGCGCGCTGAGAGAAAGTGATGGAGAGGGACCGACATATAAATCCTTTTAAAGGAGGTTGGAGGATGTGTGCGTCGATGTCAGTTAGATAGGGACAAAGAATGTGTTTGAGTTTGCTGGGGGGGTTTTAAGACGAAAGGAATGAACCGACGAATTAATGCGTTAGATCAGAATCACATGCAACACATTTTCTTTTAATCAGTCAAATAGCTCTGCTCGAATATTGTACTAGAATCTAGTACTCTCATACCAAGATCTGTCGATCTTATTTTTGATTTTTTTTCTTCTCTAGTGTAAATGTTTGATTGAGAATGGATTTGTTATAAGTCTGCTTTTGTGTATGTGTACATGTATTTCTTGGGTCCTCGACAGTTTTTAGCTGATTATTTACCCTTACAAGTATACTTGCAGCCGTATGCTCGTCTTCCGATGCATTGCATCTCCTCTTATTCTTATGTGTCATGTTGTACGTTTGATAATGTGTATATGTACATGTCTTTGTCTTTTAGCACCTTCTTCTCGTTTCCCACCCAACAATCTTCATAGGTCTGCGTGTAGATACCGCCTTGGCTCTCCCTGTCTATGTAAATCTATAAATATGTATTTATGTGTGTATATATGTATGTGTGTGTGTAGGTGTCTGTGTTAGTGTGTGTATGTCTGTGTCTGTGTGTCTGTGTGTCTGTGTGTGAGAGTGTGTTTGTTTAAGCTTATGTGAGTGGGTGACAGAAAGATAGACAGAGAATCTAGGAGAGATGAAAGGAAGAAGAGCGAGCGTGTGTGTGGGTATATTGTTCGTAATTATATTTGTATTTATCATTTTTACACTGGCAACGAAAACACAATTATTGATTCTAAGCTAGAAATTACAAGAAAGTCAGCTCTTCGGCTGCAAGCAGCATCTAACTGGAAACATTTATTATTATGAAACAACGTTTAGGGGCGTGGCTGTATTGGACAGAGGGTTTCTGGGATTGTGGGTGGGGCATTGAAGACTTTCCCCCCTCATGCTTGACAAGGACTTGGAGAGTGTGCCTTTGTTATTCTCCAGGAGGAATGAGAGCAGATTATATGCATGTCGCATTGTCTGCCTGCTTTATCGATATGCATGTGCACGCACATTCACTTTCATTTGGTAAGGGGCATTACGGGACAAGAAGAGAGAAGATAGAGCCTTACTCTTTTATTGAGAATGCGTCAGTCTTTTTGTATGATAGACACGTTTCTTCAAGACAGAATGAAAGGCCTGAATAGGAAAGAGAGAAAAGAAGAGAAACACACAAACACACACACACACACACACACACACACACACAGTA